TGAGAAAATATCTTCATGCACCTTAATTTAATGTAAGATTTCTCAATAGACCCATGAATTTGAAACGTATCTAACGGCATCAACTTTTTTAAAAATCTTCCTACTAAACCCCTAGACCAATAGAATCATTTTCTATACAATGTTTACATTCCAAACAAATTTCAAAATAGCACTATCTTTCTCACCCTTGCTCTTTACTTTTTTCTCTCTCTAGGTTCTCTTTTTCCTCTGCATCATTATCTCTCATACTCCCTCTCTTCCTTCCAACCCCTGTCTCGTCCTCTCTCCCATGCCCTCTTTCCTTACACCTCCCTGTCTCTCCTGCCCTCTCTCTTTTCCCTTAAACCCCTCTCTTCTCTCTCCCTAAATCCAGCAGCCAAAAGGCCCTGGCTCTCTTTTTCTCACTCCCTTTGCCCTAAACCTTGCTAGTGTTTTTTGGAAGGTAGAACCGTAGAAGAGAGGAGAGGTTTGTTGCTGGTTGGATGGGATAGGGGAAGGGCCGAACATAATTTAAGTTAAAAAGAGAAGGTTAGAGAGAGATGTAGGTGGAGAGAAGGGGTCATTCTTCCATGGCTTGTTAGATTCATCTGGGGTACGGATCCTTTTTGAGCTCTCATTTGCTCTTCCACAAATATGTCCTTGCATTTTGAGAACACCCTCAGCACTCGTACATTCAAGAGAGAATTCAGATAAGGATGCCATGCTAATTTAATAATGATGAAAACCAGTTTTCATGGCGAAAGCTCAGATGATAGCCCATAGGTTCTGGATTCGACTTGTACAACAACTATTGACGAATTTGTATAGCATAATACATGTACATCTTTCACATAAATGTTATAAAAAAAAAAAAAGAAGAAGAAGAGGAAGAAGTCCCTTCGGCATTCATTTAGAAATCATGGATAATTTATCACCTTTGAGAAGTTGAGGGAGCTTCCATCTTGAATACGCCCACTACCTGTGCCTGAGAAACCATGGCTGCTTTCTTGCTCTGCTGAAATTCATTGGTCTTTCGGCTCAACGCAACTTCCCCAAATTCGCAACCGAGAAGGACCGCCTATCTGAGATATCTGGAGACTCAATAAAGAAGAAGGTCACATGGGGGAGCGAGGGTAAAACCCACTTCTCAACCAGGAGCTGCCGCCTGAGTCTGTGGATTGGTTTGTTTCTTGGGAGCGAAAAAATTGCGTTGATGACCAACTTCTTTGCAGTTCTTCGAAGGACCACAGTAAGAGGGTGAGAATTAACGAATTAGAAAACCAACGAGAGAGACAGAGTGATGGTGAGGCAAAAGAGGATAGTGAGAGAGAAACGTGACCCGTGTCATTTTTTAATTTATTTGGGACGAAAGTATATAAGTAATGAGTTTAAGGGGTTAGTCAGAAAGACTTTGATGCCGCTAGATATATTTTAAAAAATTAGGGCCTATAAAGATATTTTCCCTCTTTGTTTTATGGGAAAATGTTTTGATAGGGCTGCTGTCCTATCAAAATAAGTTGGGCTGCAGCCCTCCTCACCGTTAGTTAATTTGGATGGCTAGGATTTTATTTAACGGAGTCAACTCAAAACCAGGGCACCAAACCCGGCCTTTTTCTCTTTCTCTCTCTCTCTCTCTCTCTACATGCAATGTGAAGCCATAACCAAACCCATGAAACAGACTGATCTCTCTATCTTTCTCGACAATGCAATGTGAAGGCAAAACCAATGAAACTGAACAACACATATTAAAGTGAACTGAAACCCCAAAAGGAAAAACAATAAATCCGTAGTGGTAGGCCTAAGATTTAGTGGAAATGAGAGACTCCAATTTCAGCCCAACAAGCAAGGTACTTAAAACTTGAAAAATACCAGGTAGTATTTATATATAAATCTACAGTTTCATTTAACTAACATAGGAAAGGAAGCCAATGAATCTACAGTTTCTAAGCTCTCTACCTTCATATCTCTCTTGTCATCCCAAGCCTTATGTCTGTAACAGAGACAACAAAACTAAAACTCTAAATCCTTGAATCTCAGCAGTTTTCGAATTGTTACTATTGCTTCTAAAAACTTCTCTACAACTTCAAGATGAAGACATAAGCAATAGCCCTCTATATTCTATTATTCTATCTTCTTTCAATTGAGTTAAGCAATAACCCTCTATACTCTTTTATTCTATCTCCTTGCAATTGGGGTTTCTCTCCATTGAGCTTGTAATGGTTGATCCTAAATCCAACTTATTGAACAAAGTTTGCAGCCAATACAATGTCACAGATTTAACTGTGTTCTTTGAGAATCTGAATGCTTCTTTCTCAGAGATAAGTAACCAGAGTATGAACAGTTTCGCGACAGGGTAGCAGGCTCTGTTATGCTGTGGCATGGAAGTATGGTGGAGAGAATGAATGAGAGGCAAGCGGCGTCACAATTTCCGTCATTGGGGTGTGTACGAGATCTACACTGTCCAAATACATAAATGGTGCTGATGGCTGCAGCCCAACTCCAATAAATATGGCTGCAGCCCTATAGAAACTTCATCCATAGTTATTAACTTTAAAAGTTCTAAAAGTTCCTATAAATTTTAGGATTTTTTATTTTTTTATTTTATGCAAATATAAAGTGCATATGAATCCTTCTTTCTTGTTCTTTTTAGTTTAAGGTTATAAGTTAATGGGTGAGATTTGTATAAGGCGTCAGCTTCATATGCTTAAAGATGGAGTTTAGGTACCGGAAAACTTTACAATGGCATGAAAATCTATTGGTACTCTTAATTATGAAATTTAAAGCTCTAAAATTGATATAGATTGAGCATGTCTATCAACACTAATTTTTTTGAAAAATAGATAGTCTAAATAATACATTACATGATGCACTATTTATATAACTTGAATTCTTTTTTTTTTTATATATATTTTCATATATCTTGAGGTCGAGATGATAAATTTGAGGGTTTTCCAGTATTGGAACAACTTTTTATAATGGATTTTTGATGCTCATACTTCAATAGTAGAAGATTGACACCTTATGTAAACTTTTTGGTAACTCAAAATGAAAATGTTTATAGAAGGCCTAGGCCTCATGAAAAAGTAAAGCGCACCTCTAATACCGACCGGAAAATGTTGTTTTGATGATAGAAAACCCTTAGATTTATCAAATCAGCCTCAATAGTTATGGATCCAGTAGGAGAAAATAGATTTCAAGCACTGAAAATAATGAGTCATATAACACATATGAACCCTTTATTTTTAAGTGTTCATGAATCCATTGAAGTACGACACACTTCAAACTATGCTGAAAGATGCATTTCAATGCTGTCGAAAAGCTGTGCGATGACATTAAAATATATTGTTACCCGTAATTATGAAATTTGACGCTCCAAAATTGAGGTATATCTATAAACAATTTAAATTTTTTGAAAATAAATGGTCTCAATAATGCATCACAAGATGCACTATTTACATAACTTAATATCGTTTTTTTTTTTGCCATATCCATACATCTCGAGGTTGAGATTATCAATTTGAGAGTTTTTTTATTCCGGTGGTTTTGAGGTATACCTTACTAAAATAGCATAGGCCTTTGATCCCTCGTGAGCATATTATTTAGAAAAAATATTTAAGAGTTATTAGTTGGTCTAAGAACTATTTTTTAGGTGTAGTTTGTATAAGGCTAGGCTGTAATCAATCAAAGTAAGGCACACATTCAAATAGTGCCAAAAAGTGTTGTTTTAGTATAAAAAATCTTTGTGATAGTCAAAAATTGTATTTTTATCTCAAATTATAAAATTTAAAGATCTATTAACACTTGAAAATCCTAAAAATTGACAGTCTAAATAATACATTACAAGATGCACTATTTTCAAGACTTGAAATCTATTTTTCTTGACGTCCATACATTTTGAGGTGGAGATGATCTAATTGAGAGCTTTTTAGAATTGAAACAACCTCTTCTAGTGAATTTTTGTCGTGTGCCTTAATTTGATTGTTTAGGGCCTCACACTTTTATATAAACTTTCCCCCATTTATTTTTGAGAAATGATTTGACAGGGGCTGCAACCCAATAAAAATAAGTAAAGCCTCACTTTATAACTCATCGAAAATTGTAATTCAAGTATTGGAAAGCTTTGGTTTGAACATTATGATTGTGAAAAAAAAGAAGGATTTCAAGCTTTAAAAGTGATGTATATTGTAATATGTTTTTCATTTTGCCCTAAAAGTCAGTGTTCATAAATCCGCAAGATCTGTACTGTTTTTTTAGTTTAGAATTTCATAGTCGGTATTGGAAATTGATTTTAGAGCCATCATAGATATTTCCATTACTAAAAATGTTTTCCGAATGAGGATTTCAGGTGATGTTTTATTTTGTTTTCATAAAACCTAAGCGTTATAGAAACCTCATCCTTTATATTTTTGACGTGCAGAGGGCCATTAGTTGATAATTTTGAAGCACTCTCTTAATGACGAGTTCATGTCCGGAAGCATTTTCAAGAGAGCGAGAGGAGAGAGAGTTAGTGTCAATCCCTATTGAAAAACGTTGGCGATCTAACTGCTAATCGTCTGGTTAGATCGGAACCGGGGTATTAGTATTTTTATTTTTTTTAAATTTATATAAATTCTCAAAAATAAAAAATTTGATTTGTAAAGTATTTTTTAATATTTTTTACATCATGATAAAAATTAAAAATTGTTTCGATGATTAATAATCATTTTTATATTTTTCTCATTTATTTTAAAAAATTTTAAAAATATTCCTAAACACAAATCGATTTTGTTAAAACTATTTTTTTCATTAAATTTTAACTTGATTTGAATGTGTATTGTTTTAATAATTCATTATATGCTTTTTATATTTTTAATATATTTTTTTATTTTTCAATACGTTTTTTAATAAAACGATCGAATCGAACTGTTTACCACTTAAACCGGTTGACGGCCTGTTAACCGTCGAGTTGGATCTTGCGAACACTGATGTGAATTCAGCGAACTTTTATTAGGTTAGAGAGAGAGAGAGAGAGAGAGTGTCAATTCAGCGAACTTTTATTAGGCTGGGGACATTTTGGAAAGTCTGTGGTTCTTTCTATGTATGAATTTATGAAGCAAAAGCCCGCAGTAGATGTAGTTTTCCGCTCTGCAGCTCTATGGCTCACTCCTGGAGGAGAGAGAAACCCTTCACTCGAAAGCTCCTCCTCCTCCTCCTCCCTCTCTCTCTCCTTCTCCTCCTCATCTTCCTTCTCCTCTCCTCCAACCCCAACACCAACACCCACACCATCCAATCACAGAACTCCCAAACCCTAACCCTAACCCCAATTCCTCCTTTTGATTGCCAAAAATGCCCACCATCTTCGCTGGTATTTGCGAACACAGTTGAGGGACTGAATTACCCTTTCCTCTACTCTCTAGCTGATCTTGGAATTCCTGAAAAACCCCATAGAAATATACTGAGAATGCTTAAGGGCAAGCCATTTAGGAAACCTGATATATCTGAGAAAATTCAGGAGATTTTGGATGGGGTGGGGGGCCAAATGGGAATTGTTGTGGACGTGGGGGCAAATGTGGGCATGGCGACCTTTGCAGCTACGGCCATGGGCTTTAGGGTTTTGGCTTTCGAACCAGTGACTGAGAATTTGCAGAGATTGTGTGATGGGGTTTTGTTGAATAGGGTTGGTTCTCAGGTCACCATTTTTGCCGCTGCTGCTTCTGACCGGCTTGGGAATATCACATTTCACAAGGTATCTCTCTCTAGTTCGCTTTCTCTCTCTTGTTTTATTGTTAATGGTTGTATAATTTTAGTTTCTTGGGTGAATAGTCATCTCTCTCCCCCGTAGTTTATTGATAGTTATACTCTTTCCAGTGTTGCATCATGGTTTGCTCTCTAGAAATAAAATTTTGTTGTTTGATTTTTGCTACATTCCTTTGTTTTTGGGTTTTAGCTTTTCCTTCGAACTTGTAGATTTTTGAACGATTTATTGGCTAATGCATAATCTGAGTCTTAATTTTGCTGAGGAAGAAGAGAACATAAAAATTAAATGTTAGAAGTTACAGGGGAAGCAATATTTAGGAATTACAACAGTATTTAGGACTTACATCCCATAAAGAGATCAGAAAATAGGAGAAATTGTTGTGTGAAAACCTAATCTATATTTCAAAAATGGGGTTTTACCAGTTCTAGATTTGATTGGACGTAATGGCAAATTGGTAATCTATTTGGGATTGAATGGTTGATATTGTCGTTTCTTGAGGCAATGGAAAGGTCATGGTGCATCGGAAATAGTGATGTGATTTCCTCATAGCTATGCTACATAAATGGATACATGTGACATGGATGCAAGTATCAGCAACACCAATCTCAAAATTGGCCTTTTAGACGTTTGGTTGTAAGAATAAGTGGTGTTTGGTTGTAAGGAAAAGTGGTGGTGTTGAACATTAGGTGAAATTAAGCATTTTTATAGTGAAATTTAGAGAAACCATGGTTAAGAAGAAGTGTAGAGGTTTTGAAAGTATCACAAGTGCTATGTCCTTGGAGCGTCATCACGTATATCCATGTTACATAAGTTCAGGTTGCCTAAAATAGGAATGAGAATTTTATAGTGAGAACATAGAGAATATTAACTGCAATAACATATTTGGTTTCAGTATGGTTAGAATAGAAGAGAGCAGTTTTTAGGGGGGCTAAAATTGGTGAGTGAGGTTTGTTAGTATGATTAAAATAGGAATTATTGTTTCTTAATTGGGTAAGAGGGAATTGATGGGAGAGATCTGTTTTTGAGGATTTGATGAGATTTGTTAGTAAGCTTAAATAGGAAAGTGCAGGCCTTAAGTGGGGGAGAAAGGAGGAGAAGGAAGGGAATAATTTTAATGAAGAGAGAGAAAGAATTTGGAGGATGAAGGAGACAGAAAGCTGGAGTGCCTTTAGTAGAGAGGGACGAGAGGAAAAAGTTACAGCAAAATAGGAAACCTATTGATATAAACTTATAAAAGTCATGGCGCAAACAAAAGAAAGAAGGGAATATATGGAAGGAGGAGATAAACACACACTTAGGGCAGAGGAAATTACAGATTTTAAGTGATTTGGAATGAAGTATAAGAGAGAGCTTACAAGGAAGGAGAAAGAGGTTACGTGTGAGAGATTTTAGACCTTGGATAATAAAGTGAGATAGAAGGCAAGAAAGAGGTATAAATAAACAAGTAAAGTTTGCAGATATTTGAAGACGGGAGAGAGAAGGAAAATAATGACGGGAGCTTACATGAGAGGGAATAAAAGAAGAGCAAACTGCTTATTCTTAACAAAATCTGGAAACACTTCTCTTGCAATTTAAAAGACTGATGACTTAATTAACAAATAGGACCTGAACTTGATAATGGCCCATTTTAGGAATTGCCGAAGTAAAAAATTCTATGCTCCAGAGGGAGCATTTCCCCATTCACTCGCCTAGGTAAAACCCAATCTAAGAGTTGTTTTATGGCCCCAAATTTTAGGATGTAACCTTTTCAACCTATCGATCACCAATCTCAAAAGGAATTTTTTTTTTTTTGACATGCAGTTTATGTGCGTGAAAATGACATCCTAAGCTTGAACTGCAACCGTCCAATGTTTGGGCTATCAAACCTCTGAGTTTAATAACTCAAAATCCAAGTTCTTGTTATTTTCCTTTCTTTTTTCTTTTTTTCTAATTTTATTTTGTATTTTAATAACCATCTCTGCTGATTCTCAGGTGGATCCCAAAATTTGAGATCGAAAAAATCTTCTTGGTAGCTCTTTCACCCGAGGGAGTAAGTGTACACAATATGTTCCCGTTGGAGCATGGTGTACACTCATTATTAAAATTAAGTATCAAAGTACTTCCATCCCAAAATTTACAGTGTTAACCTTTTCTTTTGTCAACAATATTGGGTTTCAAAGGATAGTGTCTACAATGTTTATATTCAAGTTTGACAATAATGTTAACCATCATCCTAGTCCTCTTTTTGGCGGTGGGGGTTTGAGAAGTGAAATTGTAAAAGATCTCAAATAATTGAGATAAGGCTTGTCGCTTGGATGATGATGAAATTGTAGAAGATCCACTATGAGGCAACTTGGCCTTTTCCTGGTTTTTTTCTTGGCTGAAGGCTGAAGATGCCTCTCATGTGGCTTTAGTTCCTAATGATGGCATCAATCTACACAAAATTTGAAAGAATCGTAATCTCTTCAAACATTGTTTAGCACTCTGAAAATCTTAGAAACTAGTTTTGATATTTAGGAGGTGTAGCTTATATAAGTTTTCTAATACCTCTCTGATGACTTGAAAAACTGGGGACTTTGACTCTGACGTATCTAATGTGACTTATTTTTTAAAAATTCCCTTTGGCTTGTGGATGATTTTTTAGTTAATTATTTGGTTCACTAGGCTTCTCTTCAAACTAATTGCAGCACTCATTTATCACTGTAACAGTTGGTTGGGAGGCTGGATAATAGTGCTGTTTCAGCAAGTGGCGCAAAGTTGGCCTTTAAATCGAATGAGGAAATTGCTGTGGAGGTGGCATCAATCCCTCTGGATTCAGTGATCTCTGATACACAACCAGTTCTATTACTCAAAATCGATGTCCAAGGTTGGGAATACCATGTTTTGAGAGGGGCATCAAAATTGCTCTCTCGAAAGGCTGGAAATGCCCCTTATCTCATTTATGAAGAAGATGAGAGGCTACTACAGGCAAGCAATAGCAGCAAGAGTGAGATTCGAGAGTTCTTGGCAAGTGTTGGTTATCACCATTGTGAGGAGCATGGTACGGATGCTCATTGTAAGAAGGATTAGATGTGCCAAGTCATGGGTCATGACCACAGTTTTGGTAATCTTTTGCTCTTTCTTTATTTGCAAGAGCTTTCCTTTTGCACATAATATTTTGTGAGATTTTGACCGGTGCCCAAGAAGAGTCATGAGAAAAGAATTGGCACATAAAATGTTTTGTATAATTGCAAACGTTTCAACAATTTTTTTGCAGGAAGGTCTTTGAAACGAAGTTTGGATTTTCTCTCTCTCTTTTGTTGAGATGAATTTTTTTTCTGTAGCGTCATTCTAGTTGAACCTTGAAGTTCTTTGTGGTCTTTTCTTCTCTCTTTTTGTGTTGATCTGCTTGACTTTTTACATGGTTTTCATATCTTTCTCTGTTTTTTATATGATCTTCTTACTTCTTGTTTTTTATTTGTTATTTTTGAGCTTTTAGGCTTGAAAGGGATGACGGATAGGCTTTGACTTTCGAATTCTTGACCTCCTTTCTTTTCTTGTTTTTTGATTAACACTCTATTTTATTTGATCTCCAAAGCAATGACAAATCGTTCAATTATTTTGAGGAAATCTTTTCATGTTGAAATGAAATATAACTATGATGTCATTTGTAAATGTTACCTTGTTTAACTTTCCCTTGACAAACCACAATGCATGCATTTGCATATCCATGCACATGGGGCTCAAGATGCAGAACAAGCACCTGCATACTCGCTAATCATGATCGGGGTTGCTTTTATCCACTGAATTGTGCAAATGTGCCGTATTTCTCACCTGATCAATGCAGTGGTATGTAATCAATGCTACTCAATTTATGGTTAGATGTTCAACATACAAACTCATCATTAGTTTATCTGCTGTATGGGAAGGCCTTGAAGTTGATGGATTTTTTTTTTTTTTTTTAACAGTTAAATTTAATGCAATTTATCTGTAAAAAATAAGATGAAATTTGGTTAAATTAGATGTTGATTTTGTTAAGAATGGTTGTTTTTTTCATTATATGGGAACATGTTTGGTGGATGAGTGGTATGCTTCAAAGGTTGAAGCCCTTTTATTCATCATGACTTATATAGTTCTCTTTCTTTTGATAGGTTAGGTTATCTAGGCCTAGTTTTATTGCACTCAATCTGTATGTTGCTTTATACTTGCGGTGGATAACTGCATAATGGGTCGATATAGATCGTTAATTGCCTATCCGGATTAGATTTGGTAATTCACTGGGACAATTCTCCCCTAGAATAGGAAATCAGCCTTGTTCTCTTTGTTGGAACCTGTATTTCTGTATAATTGGGTCTTAAGCCCTCGTAGAAGATGTATTATTAAGCTCATCAAAGATGTGAACAAGAGTTCTAATTTATGGGGTTACAAAACTGTGTACTATTAAAGAAGCTAACCTATGCAATGAACCACTTTTCTATTATACGTATATATAAAATGAATGAAAATATTGTTCCAAAAAATAAGTGTAGGTTTTTTTGATTTCTACATTCTCCTTCAAACTCAAGATAAGTCAAACGAGAGCAACTTGAGTTTGAACAATTAAAGGCTGGTCTTAAAAACAAATATTAAACAAAAAAAGCTTGAGCAACTGTAAATTAGCGATCAGAAACTGACGTCTTGAATAGAGTAGTCTTGCATAACAGCAAATCAACACGTCTCAAACAAAGCAGTCTCATATAACAACAAATCAATAGGCCTTTGGAATAGACAAGATCGAGTAACGAAAAAAAACTCGACCATCACACAGGATGAAATAATGAAAAACTCCATCATCCAATAAGATTTGAGTAATGAAAAATTCAATCATTAAACATGATCGAGTAACGGCCAACTCAATCATCAAATGGGATCAAGCAACGAAAATTTTTATCATCAACCAGGTTTGAGAAATTCAAGACAAAAGCAAAACAAAACAAAAAACAAAAACACGAAGACATGGAGAAAAGGATGGTTGACGCAAGAAGATGAAAACAAAAAAAAAGCAAGAAAAAAAAAAAACCAAATTTGTACGAGATTACAAGGTCTTAATCAATAGAGACAGAACTTTGATACTATGTTAGAAACTGTATTTCTGTATGATTGAATTTTAAGCCCCTCATAGAAGATGTATTATTAAAGCTTATCAAAAATGTGAACAAGAACCCTAATTTATAGGATTACAAAACTGTATACTACCAAAGAAACTAACCTATGCAATGAACCATCTTTTTAATATGGATACATATAAAAGAATGGAAAATATTGTTCCAAAAAATAAGTGCAGGTAAAAGTCTTATAGGAGTTGTATAAGCGCAAGAAGAAAGTGCACTATTCCCTTTCTATATCAAGGGAAAAGTTTGTATAAGGTTGTAACCTTAAACTGTTGAGGAAAGGTTAATCTAAAAAATCCTACAGTGGAGATTGTTCCCACATAGGAGAACCCTCGAACTGATCGTCTCGACCTTGAGTTGAATGGACATGAAGAAAAAAGAAAATTTTAAGTTCCAAAAATAGTACATCTTATAAAAAGTTATCTAGACCGTATGTTTTCAAGATTTTTAAATGTTTATTAATCTGCTCGATCTGTACCATTTCTTAAATTTTAAATTTTCTAACTGAAGAGAAAAAGAGATTTTGAAACCATCATAAGATTTTCAATGCCGAAACGACATCTCTAAGTAGATTTTATAGGTGCACCTGACTTCAATAGTATAAGGAGGCAACCTTATACAAACCTCACCTGTAAAGGATGAAATTTCTTTAAAGCCTAGGCTTTATAAAAACAAAATAAAGACTCACCCCAAGCTCTCCTCTAAAAAGCACTTTTGGCATTAGAAATCTCCATGATGGATCTAAATCAACTTTCAATACCAATAATAAAATTTGAAACTAACAAAGAGGTACAGATCTTGGGCAAATATGTGAACACTTATTTTCAGGGTGAAGTAGATGGTCTAAGATAATTTGTTACAATATACACAATTTTAGAGCTTAAAATTCTAATTTTTTTTTCACAACTAATATGTTCAAGCTGGGATGGTTGATGTAAAGGCTTTCCGAATACTTGAATTATAATTTTCGATGAATTATGAGGTGAAGCCTTACCTATTTTGATAGAGCTGCAACCCTATCAAACCATTTTCCATGAGTAAGTAGTTAGTTCTTACTAGATGATATTTACTTTTGGAAGAGAAGAGATAGTTCATGTTATGAAATTAGGAATATTTGGGTGTACATGAATCTTTCTCAGAATGACCAAAATAGTTTTTTGTAATTTTGGGGCAATTGCTATTTATTACTTTGGTGTCGTATGAAAATGAAAAATTTTCTTCCTTCTTGTGGAGTATTTCATGACCAGAAGTGGTTTACTAGTATTGAAATAGTGAGCTTCTCAGGGCCATTGTAGAGTTTTTAGTTTGCTTAGAAAGTCTTGTTTTGTAGTGGCATGTGACTCTAGTTCTCATTCTGGGGCCCTTTTTTCTTTTTCTTTTGGAAAATCGAGATGTGCTCTTGACTCCAATCGTCTAT